TGTACATTAAATCATCACATTGCACACCTTAAAAAATCATGTTGTACAGCCTTAATATATAACATTTTTATTTGTCGATCATGCCTCAATAAATCTAGAAAAAAAGGAGAGGAATTAGAGAATGAGAACATAAACAAGTTTTATATTCTAGGAGTTTTTCTGTAAAGGGGAGCAGAGAAATGAGGTGGTAGTTGAGTGGTACTTTGTTGGTGAAGACAGGTGGTGGTTTTGTTTTTTAAAGATTGGAGAAATTGCGGCATGTTTATTTGCTAATTGGAATCATTGGGTAGAAAGGGAAAAATTGATGCTGCAGGAGAAAGAAGCAAGCATTGCACAAGAGATACTTTTGAGTAAGTAAGAGGGACTAGAATCCAGTGAAGGGCCTAGTAATTTGGAATATCCCTAATGTCTAGCATCCTTCCATTTCAAGCATTCAAAAAATTTTAATCAATACCTGCTCTGGGTCAGTATCTTTGCCAGGAGCACTCATAACAAAGATACCTAAGACCTAGTTTCTGCCAAAAAGTAGAAAAACCTTTAACAGAGAGATATAATACGGTATAATAATATATAAGAATACATATATACCAAAAGCACTATGAAAGAGCCCAGGAGAGTGAGCAGTTAGCTCTGCCAAAGGGCATTGTAGCATTTGCAAAAGCACCAAATATGCTTTATTATCTAAGGGAAATGTCAATTTATTTTCAAGTAAGTTTATATAGTAATATTTTATTTTATTTTATTATGTTAATCACCATACATTAGTTTTTGATGTAGTGTTCCATGATTCATTATTTGCATATAACACCCAGTGCTCCATTCAGTACGTGCCCTCTTTAATACCCATCACCAGGCTAATCCATCCCCCCATCCCCCTCCCCTCTAGAACCCTCAGTTTGTTTCCTGGAGCCCATAGTCTCTCATGGTTCGTCTCCCCCTCCGATTTCCCCCCCTTCATTTTTCCCTTCCTACTATCTTATTTTTTTTAAACATATAACGTATTATTTGTTTCAGAGGTACAGGTCTGTGATTCAACAGTCCTACACAATTCACAGCGCTCACCATAGCACATACCCTCCCCAATGTCTATCACCCAGCCGCCCCATCCCTCCCACCCCCACCCCTCCAGCAACCCTTAGTTTGTTTCCTGAGATTAAGAATTCCTCATATCAGTGAGATCATATGGTAATACTAAAACATAGCAATTTCATTTTAAAACAAGTACTTTAGATCATTATAAAGTACTCCGTCATTGTCAGTATTCTTTTTTTAAAAGATTTTATTTATTTATTTTTATGTATTTGAGAGAGAGCACAAGTGGGGGAAGGAGTAGAGGGGGAAAGAATCTCAAGCAGACTCCACGCTGAGCATGGAGCCTGGTGCCGGGGCTCGATCTCATGACCCCAAGACCATGACCTGAGCTGAAACCAAGAGTTGGACACTTAACTGACTGAGCCACCCAGGCACCCCTCATTGTCAGTATTCTTAAAATTATATTTAGTGTTCTATTTGTGTTTAATTACAGCTAAATATAGTTCATAATTTAAAAAACTATTTGCCATCAACTTCAGAATAAAATTCAGACAAAATCCAAAAATAATTATCTTTCAACTCTACATTTATTAGAATACAGTAAGAAATACAGTGCACAATTCCTGCCTGTATGGAAATCCAAGTTAGAAAGCTCCAGATGTACAAACAGATATGAACAGCCAAGTAACAAAATAGTTTAACTGTGAGACCCTAGCACAGAGATATCATAAGGTTTATGACAGGGTATCACATGTACTCTACAATTAATAAATGTTTTATGCTTGGAGGAATAAAAAAATTAAGAGGAAGTGGTCAGCAAAATTTTTAATAGGGCTCTTAACTTTATTTTTTACTGTATTCTTGACTACTATTATTACTTTTCATCATGAATTAGTAAATACAAGTGTCACTACCTAAAGAGATGTCTTAAAATTTTTCAGATTATTTTTCAGAGATTTATTATTAGTACATGTACATTTCCATAAGGAGTGAGTCAAATGTGTTTAATAAGCCTTTAAAAGTCATTACAAATGTAAAAATACTTTGCATATATTAATAATAGCGTACATTTGACTTAAATCTAAAATAATGCTTATAGTACTCCTTTTTTTTGACTAGTAGTACTGTAGCAACAAACCATAAATTTCTTTTTCCATTTGAACTTTGCTGTTTTGTGAAATTACAATACTGCTATACCCGTGCAGTGGCAAACATTTCCATGCTGCAATCAAGGATCTCTGTATTTGGAATTAGAAATAATCTAAGCCATTCTCCGTTTTTTCAGTTTGCCAAGGACTGCTGTTTATATGAGCGTTTCTTCATTCTCTTTTATTAAATCTGTTTCAATATTTCAGCACAATAAAAACGTTTATAAAAGGAGTAATACTTACAAGCAACATTATTTCTTATAACTGAAAAATAATACTTTTAAAAATAGGTATTTTTACTTGCATTGCTAAATTCAGAGCTTTATAACTAGTAAAAAGCGAAAGCCTGATGTCCTCCAAAAGTAAATTTTAATTAAGATTTTTATCTCAGTTTTTTGTTTAATTCACTACCTTTTTCTCAATTGTATGTTAGCAATATACAGTATACTCTACTAAAAAATCACCAGTGTTTAATCTTCTGCAAATTTTTTCCTATAGTTAGTAATATAACCAGGCATATCAAAAGCTTAATTACATGCCTCAATGACTTAGCTCCTTGAGAATCTCAGAGAAGATGACCTGAAATACAACGAATACAGTTATTTATTTCATATTCTATGCATGAAGTATGTTTCTTCTTGGCTTTGTGCATATATATTTGACTCCAAACAACCAATCAATTCTTTAAAAAGTATCAAACTACTTTACATATACATATAATAACATATAGAGCAAGTAAAACAACTGCTTATTAATTGGATTGTTCACTTTCCAAAAGATTTTCTTGGTGACATGTAGAAACAGTGTTAGGGCTGTTACTTGCTTCAGTTTCAGTGCACACATGCTGAAAGGGACTTTACTTGAAAAACCAGATTCTAAAGAAATAAGTTGTAGGAGTTTTGAAAACAAAGAATTCAGAACATTGAAAATCTGGAGGATTGATTCTGCCAAGCAGTTGAATAGACATGACAAAACTAGACCTTTCCTAAAAGCTTTACCCAACCCTGGGAGGGCAGGGATATATTGACCTGCATCAGCTCTCCCAAAGCTCTCCCTTGTAAAAGTTCAGAGATCCACTCCATGAGAATTTTGGAATCTTAGGTGATTGTTTTTAAAGTTGTTTGTACACCTTGAAAGAAAGCCACTTTTAAATAAACACTGCAATTTTTTGGCTCATTAATAATTTTATCATATCCAGTTCATTCTCAGACTTTCAAAGAGCTTAGCAAAATATACCAGGTAAACTCTATCATTGTACATAATATAAATCCATAAGGTTACATTTTCCTTAGGAACAGAATTAGAAGTCTCCTAACAGAATCTTTTTTTAAATACATGGACCAATCATAGTAATTGATCATGAAATTTAGTTGGGCAAGGAAGGAAATGAAGAGGATATACAGTGACTGACCTAGAGGTGTTGGAAGGTGGGAAGATCAGTAGATTAAGGAGGAGGATATTTGGACTTGGAATGCTGTAGGGATGGCACTAGAAATACAGAAGATGGTAGTTGAAAAGTGGGATACTAGAAGGGATTACAGCCTTTGCAGTTGACAGGTTAAGCATATGACCACAGGAGTGGGTGGAGGAGAGAACCTCAAGAAACTGCGAGACCAGAATATTGGAGGGTGAATATTGAAGTCACCAAGAATTACGGCGTTTTTAAAGTGGTGTTTAAGTGCCTGGGTTTCACCCCTGGTACTACACATGTCCCAACTCTGTGTCCTTGGGCCAGTTACATAACCTGTCTCAGTTTCTTCATCTAGTAAAACAAGAGTAATGATAGTATATTTCTCATAACTATGAGGATTAAACAATTTAATACTTATAAAACCCTTAGACAGTTTTTGGCATATGGTAAATAATATGTAAGTGTTTAGTAGTATTATCACAGGCATCATAATCATCATTATTAGGATCCAGTCCCGTGTGAGTCTTGGCCTTTCATTCATTTAAAATTTATTAAGCAGTTATTGTATGCCAGGCATTGTGCTAGGTATCCTTTTTAAACCTTTGTATGATTTTCTATGGCTCTTTTGTGCTTCAAGAATTTCAAGTTGATTGAAAATAATGCACTGCCGCCTCACCAAAAAGTTATCCTTGAAGTCTATGCCATGAGTTCTGCTTGCTAAAGTAAAATGCTATTTAGTAAGAATACAAACAGAGGGAAACAGGACAGGCCAAAGCAGTGATTACTTGGATCTGGAAACTAGACTTGTTCACAATAGCAAAAAGGATGCTTGGGAGGGCAGAACAGTTATAGGCCATAAACGGAAATCTAGCCATATTGCTGAAGCATGGTGGTATATTCAAAACGTATTGTGACATGAGTTAAGACACAGTGAAGATGGGAAGTTAGCATTGTAGCGTTCCAACATGCCACAGTGGGTTAATGTCCTTGCAGGCAGGTTAAACACAAGGGGCTACTATCTTGGAGACTGACTATCAAGATGGAGACACTTGGGCATTGGGGAATAAGGCAGAGATCCAGTGACTGAAGAGAAAGTGAAATCCCTAAAATAGTGATACTCTTTGTAAAGGACCATATCCTTAAAATCTGGGGCTCCTGAGAGAGCAAACCTAGGCTGTTCTTTATTATTTATAAAAGGATGCCTTAAGATTGCATTATCACCTGGCCAATTGCCACAGGCAGTTTCACCTTCTGGCTCAAAACACACATTTTTCATCTACACAAATGCCAACCATAATGTTGCATATGAGTGAGTGTGTTTTGCAGACTATAGCTAAAAATCAGTGTTAAGTATGAGCGGACATGGGGAAGAAAAACAATGTGATGTGAATTTTGTTCTCTGTGTTTAGGCAAGCTACGACCTATATCTATGCCAGTGGAATATAATTGGGTGGGGGACTATGAAGATCCAAATAAGATGAAGAGAGATAGTAGAAGAGGTAAGTGTTCTAGAATTTCAGTGTAGGCTGGGTTGTTGGAACAAAAAAGCAAATTTAAATGTTCTTTAAATAGGTTTTATGGCTTCAGTGGAAAACTTCATTCTCTTATTGATTTTATGATACACCCAAACCGACTCAGACCAACGTTTGACTATCTTGATATGTTATTAAATAGATATCTTCTCTGAATGTCTCCTAAGGGATTCAGGGTAGATAAGCACAGTGTAAAAAAAATAAATCTCTGATTGTTATGTGAAGGTCACTATTTGGAAAACAACGTCAGAAGTGTGAAACTGCATAAAAGAATTAAGTTCAGTGAATAGGAAGAGTTTGTGATCAGTCCCCATTGGTCCGCAATGCAGCCTCACCACTTTTGTATATTAGTACAGTCTTAAAATGAGTATTGATGTACATGAATAAAGCTAATGGAAACTGGGCCAGTGACTCTAATGTGAAAACCATATAGAAATGGAAAAAAAAAAAAACACTTTGCTTTTTTTTTCTTCTGTTTGCTGTTCAGGGTTATCTTCTTACTTGGGGGTGGGCTACACTTAAAGTATCTACCAAAAGTAAGTTTTTATGTTCACTTACCATGCTATTGAGGTGAACAGTAAGGAGAGCTACTCAAAGTCTCACTACTAAATGGGATTCAACCAGCTGTGGATATGGTGGGCTACTTCCGCTTTCTGAAATATAGAGCTATAAAGTTGTAGATAAAAAATAAAACAAAGCAAAAACTATTCATAGGACCTTAGTTCACTAAGCTTCCTTCATAATATATTTAACTCATTTGCCTGTTATTTCTAACCGATGTACAGAATTTACCACACAGGGATAAGCAAGCCTGAATATCTGCTTCATTAGTCTAGTTAACACTTATTTCATAGAGAGAACATTTCAGAAAATGTTGGTAAATACAGGAACATTGACAGATTCCCTTACATCTATGTATTCATTCCATTTTCCAAACTTTAGTTTCTAACTTCATTTGTGTTATAGAATTAATCAAGAAAAAAATAAAAAGAGAAACGTATATGCTATTTCTGAGTTACTGTTTTGGGACTTCATATGATGATGATATCTTGGGGGGGGGATGCCTTATGAATTTCTAAGTGTTGGCTATCAGTTTAAGCATAGATTCTATGAACTAAGTTTCCTGACTCATGGTTCAAAATGTGGGCTTTAACTTCTCCAAGGATGCTAGTCTGTTATAGGTCAGTGTTTGTCATCGATTTTTAGCAGAATCCCCCTGGGGGAACTTGTTAAAAATTTTATGAGCCGCACACCCAGTGATTCTCATAAAGTTGGTCCAGAGATAAAACTCAGAGAAATAATCTGTAGGCTATTTCTTATTGCCCTATGATCCCAAATGATTAAGATGCTCTATATTTTCACTACATAGGTATTTTATAAATTAAATCAAGTTACATTTCTGAAATGAAATCTAACAGCACAATCAGGAAAGAGTGGTAAATTTGGAATATTTGCGTATTTATATTAGTGTATTTATCTCTTTTTATATAGAAAACTCCCTACTCCGATATATGAGCAATGAAAAAATTGCTCAAGAAGAATACATGTTCCAGAGAAACAGCAAAAAAGACACAGGGAAGAAGTCTAAAAAGAAGAGTGATAAGAGTAATAGCCCGACTCACTATTCATTGCTACCTAGTTTGCAAATGGATGCACTGAGACAGGACATCATGGGCACGCCTGTGCCAGAGACCACACTATACCATGTGAGTAAAATTTCAAAGACTCCGTGCTATAGCTTCTATTGGGAGCCTGGCAGATGACTCTTTTGGGTAAAGTCCAGATTGCTTATCTTTATCCTATTGCCAGATTTTCACAAAAGATCGTAAGTTCAGAAATGTTTTTAAAAACCTTGATGGCTTATTGATTTGTTCTTCAGGTCATATATTCAACAAGTTCATATGTTGTAGCAGGTTCGATTTTTTTAATGAAATAATATGCTCAGAATTGATGGAGAATAATTAATTAGCTGATTGATAACCTATAATAATAAACAGTAAATAGATAGCTATAAAATTCAACATTAAAGATAGGATTTTTGGGGCGCCTGGGTGGCTCAGTCGTTAAGCGTCTGTCTTCGGCTCAGGACATGGTCCCAGGGTCCTGGGATCGAGCCCCGCATCGGGCTCCCTGCTCAGCCAGGAGCCTGCTTCTCCCTCTCCCACTCCCACTGCTTGTGTTCCCTCTCTCGCTGTGTCTCTCTCTCTGCCAAATAAATAAATAAATAAATAAAAAGATAGGATTTTTAATATGTTCATGAGCATTTCTTATGTGCTAGACTTGGAGCTTGGTGCTCAAGGTAAAAATGAGAACACATAGATAGCACATTATTATAGGGAAGGGGAAACTGGGCCAGTGACTCTAATGAAACAGGATCTTTTAATCTGTCAGTGCAGTAGAAGGTGTACCATCTAGGTATACAAGGTGTGAAAGATTTAATGGCTTCTACTTGAGTTACTTTTCTGAGCCTACTTTTAAATCATTTGCTTAGTTATTCCAAAGCTCTCTCATAAAACTAGAGTATAGAAAAATATTTTCATTTATTTGGGTAGAAGTAGGAGAGCAATAAGCACTTCTAGGTATTCATTCTCTATCCTCCCCAAGCCTCTTCCTCTCTAAGAGATAGTGCCCATGTCAAAACTTGCTCCCCTAAGTGACTGACAAATCAAATGATTTTATTTGCCACAGTTATTTGTAGTCAGTCTGAAATCAGTACTCTTAGCTGTATGAAGCGGGCCACTTTTGCTGTCGGTAGTCAGAAATTCTGTCTGAATACTGAGCTCCCTCTAGAATCTGGTGCTCCAGTCATAAGTAATGTTGTCCAAACAAAGACCTAAACATAAGAGACAGCTGGTCTGTTCGAGAGGGAGGTTGGTAGTGGGAAATGAGGCTGCAAAAGGAAGAAGAGGCCACTTCACCCAGAGCATGTAAACTATTAAAGAGTTTGGATTTATCCTAAGAGGAGAAGTAAGCCATTGAAGGCACATTTAAACGCTCAGCCTTTGCCATCCTGTCAAGCACATCTAGACAGCAGTAGACTGTATGAGGAAGGAAAATAGATGAATCTTGTGGATTTTGAGTTATTAATTTATGGAAGATAGTAAATGGTGAATCAAACGGGTAAGGAGGAATATCCTGAGGATTGAATATTACAGAGGAGTATAAATTGTTACCACTTTTCTGAGGGCATGATTTAGTTTTATGTATCAAGAACCAAGTCTAGTAGTTCACTTCTAGAAGATTATTCTAAGAAAGAAATCAGTCTACTTTTGCCTCCTACTTTTATTATGTGACCTGAGTCTGTAAGAAGGTATTTCCCAGATAGGTGATATTTATCCCAACTAACTTTTGACAGAGGAACAGCATACAGTAAGGAATATTGTTAGTTGTTGGGGCGGGGGAGAGTCCTCCCATGTAATACTGACCCACTAATCCCACAGTAGAAGGCTTGACACTTTCTAACTCTATTCTGTGACTTAAAAGGAGCTAAATAATTGTTAGCCCCCAAGTGCATGCCTAACCAATGTTCAAATGCCTATAGCCAATGCTCAAGAAGAGAAAACATTAGGGGGTTTTCACTAGGCTCTAAGTTCCCTTGAGGACCTTATAAACCTTGTGCTTATTTAGTACCTTCATGGTTATCAAGGGAGCTTGACCACATTTGTTGTCTTTCAAACATCACAACAACCACATTGGCAAATGACAAAACTCAAACTCAGAAAGGTTAAGTGATTTACCCAAAACTGTGTTGCAAAAAAGTGTGAGAGTAAGGACTAGAACCCAGATCACCCACTTTGAGTGGTCTTTGCACACTGTATGCATGGTAGGCATTCCTACCTATGCTTTAATGACTACATGAATTTTGAAAAAGCTTAACTTTAAGAAACATGTGCCTTCATATGTTGATTTTAATAACATTTTCAGTATCTGGATTGACTTGTACCCAGATTTCTCTTTTGCTCTGTGTTACTATTTTTTATTAACTCCAGGAAAACATACAGATCTGCTGCTGTTATAAAGCACAAGTAGTTCTTTGGCATGATCTACTGCTGAGACTATGGAGTATTGTAGTTAAAATTGTCTGGACCTTGAAGACAAAACAACATATGCTTATATGATTGTTTCTTATACTTCGTAGGAATTCATGGTTTTTTAATCTGTTTATGCACACCTATTTAAAAATTAAAGGATTTTTCCTTACATTAAATTGTCCCGAAACACAAGATCAATATCAATATTTAATCACCTTCATGATGAACCACTAATCATTCTTACCAGTTATTCCTTTGGATAACACAGCCAATTTTAAGTGGAAGAAGACTCTGAAGATTAAGTCCTGAGTTTCATAGGCTGCTATTTCTCCTGTGATATACTAGCTCCCTATGGTCTGAGTTCACATTTAGACAAAATTTAGTTGAATTTAATAGCAGGATTATATTAACATTAAATACCTTTTAAACAATTTACAAAAAAAACTGTATTGTGTATGTGGCGGGGGAGGGGAAGGGAGGTTCCCCATAAACAGACCTAGATTATAATCCCCATTGGTCTATTTTGGAAAGCAGCCCAATAAAAATACACAAAGCAAAGCAAATACAGTTTGATTTCACTGTTTGACTCATTCCTCTTAGCAATTATAGCAGAAATGTATATATATTAATAAAGAAAATTGAGAAGTTTATGATATTATAAAATACAGTTTTTATTAATTCCATATATTTGTTATTCCAGTATGCATATTTTTCCTTAAATTGTTTAAAAGGAACTCACTCACTATGTTCTGACTACCCTGATCATCCATAGTCTTTGCCATCTCTTTCCTTTGTTGACATGCTCTGCCTTGTCCTGAAAGTGCTTTTACCCCTTCCCCCTTCACCCCCAGTGACTCCCGTCTAAACCTGAAATTACAGAAGGGCTTTGCCTAATCACTACCCTCTAAACTAAAAAAGCTTGTCCTATTAAAGTCTCTTAGCACCCTCTATATTTTCTTCAAAACCTTTTTTATGATTTGCAATTATATACTTTATTTATGTGATTATCTGCTTAGCGTCTTTCTCCCTTGTACATAGTAGGGAAGGCATGTCCATGTTCATGACAAGAAAGGAAAGTTTTTCCATTTTGTTCAGCACTATATTTCAACACCTAATATAAGCATAGTATCTTACAAATGCTCAGTAAACATGAGACAAATAAATGAGTGAGTGAGTGAATGTGACAGGAACTTCACTGTCCTTCTCAGGATCTCTCAGTTGATGTCCTCAGCATGCAAACAGCTACTTCAGGTCCTGCCCAGCACAAACAGGCCTTCAGTGGGAGTGTAACTGTGGTGGAAATTGCCAGGAACTTATTACCATAGTCTCAGTGTCCCATGTGCCTGGGGAAAGCCTTTGGACTCTAAATATCTTGTCGTGTTTACCTAGTCCATATTACTAAATTCTTCCTTGGTTTATCGATTAACATTCCATTTCACTCCAACAATTGGAACCCTGCCCTTACTGGCACCTCTGCCAGGGAGCATCTGTCTTGGTTTCTGCTACAGAAGACAGATCATGTGCAACCTCCCTCTGGCTACCCACCACATTTAAGAGTATTGGAAGCGCCTGGTAACTTACACTTACCATGTTGGGCTTCCAATCAAAGCAGGTCCCAGTTTGCACCTTTAATCAGAGTCATTTACAGGACTTCTCTGCTTCACAGGTGCCACTAGGGGCAAGAGGATTAGTTTCCCCTCAGTCCCCACCCCACCTCCTCTACTCTGGCTCAGTTTCAGCTCCAGCTCGTACTTGCTTTCTCTGTATCACTGCCATCTCATTAGGGAGGTCACAATATACCTGTCAGCCAAGTATGTTAGGGTATTTTTCACAAAAGAGTATAACTTTATTTTACCTACTCACTGATTCTCTGTCTGAAAATGCAGGAGTTGTTAGCTGTCAAAGCCCTCATCTGACCTTGAGAGCACAGGCAGAAAAGGCAGGCAGCAGTTGTGAGAAAGAGAGAGGGTAGAGGGAGAGGGAGGGGAGACAGAAATTCGAATGTAGTGATAAAAGATTTTAGATAAAGACTTTAGTTAAAGAATGATTAGATCCGGGTCTTTTTTTTTTTTTTCCTTAATAAGCTCTACATATGACAACTTGCTCTCACATTAAAGCTGCTAAACTAAATCCATAAACAAAATAATAACTTATTTTAAATCCACAAGCTGAGATGCCAAAACAAGTAAAATTTGATTATGGATCCAGGCAACATGCAGGTATACTTTCCTAAACTGATTGTGATTTTAGATGGCTTATTTAAAACAGATTTAGAGTAGGTGTTCAAAAATCTGGATAATCTTTTCATAACATTCCAACACTTATGTGGTTTGTCTTAGTTATTTAGGATATAATGGCAAACATTCAGTTGTTGTTTTACTCCTGATAAATACTTTGAGCCATCCTCATCAACTTGTGAAGGTGTTTTTTGTGAAACTCCTGGAAGAAGGAGGTGGGGAGCCGTTAAAAGACATTTTTTTAACTTTACAAGTAGATGAACATTATGAAACAGACACTCTTTTAAGTAATTTACAAATCTTAACTCATTTCATCCTCATAACAGCCCTATGAAGAAGGTGCTTGTGTTATCCCCATTTTATAGATTAGGAAGCTGAGACACATGGATTAAATAAATAATAAGTGGTAGAGCTGGGATTTGAACATTAGCAGTCTGC